GTGAGGCAATGTCCCATTGTCGACAATGGGCTTTGGGACTCTTTCCCACCCTCCTTTCTCAACAATATGTTTTTTGCTTGTTTTGGGTCTTCATGCCTGTTACCTAGTCCCAGCGACACCTAGTGATTACACAGGCTGGTGTGCTTCCTCCATGTGGGATTGTGACTTCTCTGCTAGATGGCCACTTGTTGAACTTCAACACCATAGACAGGGGAACAGCTAAGGAATTAAAATCAACAAAAAAGAGTTTAGAGAGATTCTGGGGGTACTGGAGCAACAGCAATCTAGCTGAGAGCAATAACTAAGAGGTGGAAGCAGGGCAAGACTGATGGTAAGGCAGGAGGAAGGTAAAAGGAAACAGAAATTATCTAGGAACCATAGCTATGGATAGAGATATAAGCATAAATGTATATATATATGTAACTACATAAGTTCATAAAAGTAGAAGTATTTTCCTATGTACATATATTTATATGGCAATACACTGAGATAGTGGATGATCGTTGGGCCTCCGCTCATGCCTTCTCTCAAGGCAAGAACACGTTGTTCTAAAAACCTGGCATTCTGTGATGCTCTCCCTACCGTCACAATCACTGAAGACAAATGGGTGCACAAGCAAATGTGGTGAAGAAAGTGGATGGTGCCCTGCTATAAGAAGATACAGCATCTGTGGTCTTAAAGACTTTAAGTTTAACATCCTTAACTTTTGAGTGAGCCTCTCTGCCTGTACTTAACCAACCTAGACCTCTTTGGGAGTCACTGTTTTAATGGGAACTTACTATCTAGATAGTTGTGATTCGTTCCATAAAATTATCTTCAGCAGCTTTGATATAACTTAAAAATCTGGTGGAAAGACTTGAAGATTTTGCACTAATTTTTCTTTGCACAACCTTTTTGGCATCCACCCAGTTTGCTGAGGACAAGATGTTCACTTAAAATGAAAAAATGTCAAACTTTGTGATACTGCAATTTAAGCAATTATTGCATCAATTGTAATTCTATGATGAGTTTCTGGATTCCAATTAGAGTTTCTTAATTCATTGAGGTTGATGATATTCCTTCTTTTGCCTCAACACTGTGGTCTTCTTGACCTTCCTTGCTTTATATGGGGCAATAGTCCTATAACCTTATTGCAAAAATTCAGTATTTGGGGAAGATGTTTGGAATTTGAGTTTTGCTTAAACCTTGACATTAGTCTAAACTTAAAATTGTATACTATTAAGTAGTGTATATTTATCTACTTTTAAATGTACCCTGAGGTTAAGACAAACATATTATCAAGAGAGCTCATCTACCAGGAGCCACATATCACAAAGACATGTTTAAACACATTTTGTATGGAATAAACCCATGTATGTACTACTGGAGGTATAATAGTAATACCTTTATTGACTTACCTTCATATAACTTAATTTACCTGTATCACTACCCTAGGATTTATACACATTTTGCAGATGAGGATCAAGAAACATAAGGTGCCAGGAAATTTTGTTTGAGAACACACAGACTTAAGTGGTGGAACTGGAATTCAAACACAGGTAGCTGGTTGCGTGCTTCTAACCACTGCTGCATATTGCTTCTTGCTGAGATATGTTTACCCAAGGCAATGTTTTGTAATAAAATACCTGAAAAATGCACTGCACACCTAACTTACTGGTTTTCTTATAGAAAAAGAAATGATTACCCAAAGCTAATAACTTGAGAAGTCATCACACTTGTTTTACTGTAAATGTTTCTCTCTCTCTCTTTTGGACAATAACACATAAATAACAAATGTTAACCTTTTTATCCATTTTTTAAGTGTACAATTCAGAGGCATTCGGTACAATCTTATGAATCATCACCACCAACTACTTTAACTGGCTCTAGAACTTTATTAATACACAAAAAAACAACCTCCCACCTATTAAGCATTTCTTATACTTTCTTCACTCCCTCCCTCCCCTGGAAACCACTAATCTGATTTCTGTTTTTATGGATTTTTCATTCTGGATATGTCATATAAATGGACTTTTTAGAGTGGCATCTTCAACATTCTGAATCTCACTATTACTCTGAGTGGTTTCCAAAACAACTCAATTGAGCACAGTCTAAAAGCTTACCTGACTTGAACCAACTGTGCGAAATTCATTCAGAGGTGAAGGGTTCTGAAATAGCACAGTTAAAAACATATCTGTAAATGTAACATACTGTGAAGACTTCCAGTATTTACAGCTTTTTATAAAAGTACTAAAATAATAATTTAAAAAATATTTCAGGTAGACTCCTAAATAATTTATATAAATCTTGTTAGGAAAAAAATAAGATGTACACATATAAATGTTTTTCCTTTAAACATGAATGATGAAACTACAAAACTATGTTTACCTCTCTCTTAATTCATTCCAGGAGCTTTCTAATTAATCATAAAATAACCTGTTGCTAAAATTAATAATGAATACCAAATAAAGAAGACATTCTGTTAATATTTTATTCAACACTTTTGCTTATTTTTAATGTGTTTATTTTGTTCAGAACTGAGAGGAATTTTAAGGTAGTGTATAATTTTAAAAGGATGAAGTTCATTACTTATTGAATCCAGCATTGAGCTATTTTATATATTCCCTATGATTTTCATTTTACAAAGGCTAGGAGAAGCTATGAGCATTCCTAAATCCACACCCTATTTGTTGTGGGCTTGGGTTTGGTCTTATTAAACTCTTTCAAATACTATTTATTTTTGTACGATATATCATGCCTTTCATTTGTACACAATGATTAATGTTTCAAGCTCATTAATATACAATAGGGTTTCAAGTTTATGTCCGTTATCCTCATCTGATTTCCGAACATTGATCAATGAAGAAGTTGAGCTAGGGGACTTCCTTCCTTTTCCTGCGTCCTAAAAAAGAACATCCGCCGAGGCTGAGGTTCAAAATGAGGTCCTCTACTCTCCCACGCTCTTCACATCACATTGCGCTATTTTCCCATAAAACTCTATAATAAAGATCCATTATAAAATCTATCCTTACATATACCTTATCAACTGAGCAATTTCCAACTTCCCAGTGCATCTCTTTGAGAATATTAAAGAGGCTTTGGGCATGTGGATAAGTTTAGTTCTTGAGCATCAATTTTATAAGGAGCTGTTACACTGATTGATAAAATTTGTCTTGAATATTACCAGGTACTGTTTCCCTCTTCCTGTCAGTTATTAGGAGCTTCCTTGATGATGTCGGGGTTCAGCATTGGGTCAGTAACCACACGGTCAGCAGTTTGAAACTCTCAGTGGCTCCTAAGGAGAAAGTTGAGGTTGTCTATGCCCACTAACAGGTACACACAGTCTCAGAAGCCCATGGAAGGCAGTTTTGCCATCAGGAAAGATTGCTACGGGTTAGTATTGATTCTAATTGATCCTATGTCAGTACATTTTTTTTTTGTTTGGTCAGTTATTTTATGCTAAGAATTTGAATTTTTCCTTGTAGTCAAAAGATCTGTCTCACAAAGATTATGATGGAATCAGAAATTTTGGAATGAGCATTTAGAATGGGATTTTATTTGAAGAATGGAGGATTGTTGGAGGAAGAATAAGCTGTCTGAAGTTACACATGTCTAGATTGCTTTTTAACCAAATACAAAAGAGTCCTCAGAGGTCATAAAAGGTTAAGCACTCAACTATTGGCTGAAATATTGAAGTTTTACCCATTCATACCTGCCTAGGAGAATAGACTTGGAAATATGATTATGAAAGTTAACAGCCTTGATAACCATCCGGAGCCGCTCCACCACACACACACACACACACACACACACACACACACACACACACGAGGTTGCATGAGGCCCAGTGGATTCACTGAGTACAGAGTAAAGAGAAGGGGGGAAATATTACATAGAAGCTCAAGAGGTGATTTCATGAGGGGTGATAGCAGTTATAATTGCATTCTGTATTAAAGCAGAGGGGAAAAAATAAATTTAAGATAACCACGGGTGTTTTTAAGTGAAACAATTGTTGGTTAAAGAAACATATGTAAAAGATTAGGCCTCTGGGCACCTCTCCCCAGGGTGCTCAGTCAGTTTTGCTTTATTTTTGGTTTCATGAATATTTTGATGCAAGTCCACAGAATAGTCTATGAAGAAGTGGAACATACCTATAGACAAATCACAAGGAAAAACGTCCACTAAAAGTTTTCTCATACTCAAAGAACTTAGGCCTATCATTGTCATAAATAAAAACCAATTTATAAGCTAGTATGTTACTTGATGTCTTCAGATACTAGGCCCCACTGGAGAAAATCTATTTTCCCTTAAGGGAAAGCGAATGAATTATGAAGTCAGTCATTCAGTCAATGAGTCATTTATGAAGGGATGTGTGTATTTCCTCCTGACCCTCTTGAGTAATCAGTTAATTCTCCCAGGGTATACCTATCAGTGAATGTATGAAATCAGAGTATCCTACTCATAGAATGACTATGAAGCTAGAAACATACAAAGTCACTGTCGCCGAATCACTTGTCACTCCTGTCGATTCTATAGGACAAGGTAGAACTGCCCTCTGTCTTTCTCCTGGGAGTTGTTGATGGTTTCCAATGTGCACCCACCACCAGCCAGGCCTCCTCAGTTCATGAGGCAATGCCTAGATTATGATACGTATCACCCAAACATTAGCTATTCCTATTAATTAATATCCGATCGCAGATGTTAACATGCTTCTAAGAAAGTATTTAAATAGATGACTGTTATTTACATAATAATCATAGTACAATAAATATTTTGGAACTTCTGACACTGCCTTAATAAATAGCAAGTATGTTATCTATATGAAATATTACAGACAATCCAATGATGATGATGACACATTATGATTAAATGTCATAGAATAGTTTATGCTCTCAACAATTAATTATGAATTAATTTTATCTTTAGTAGTACCCCTGTTACTCCTTTTATAGTTGGACAGTTGAAAGTTTTGAAAATTTCCTTACAAGATAATAATATAAATAAAAGAACAGTAAAATATGTCAATATAAAAATCACCATTTATTAGTATCAAATACATAAAGGCTATAGCACACCTTTTTATATACATTAGATAAATGTAAATTTTAAGTTTCCTGGTTGATTATCTGTTCGATCAATTTTGAGGCAATACAAAGACATAGAATTTTCTAACAAAGAAAAATATATACTTAATCGATTTTAGCAAATGGAACAAACACAGGATAGTATGAGGTGGCAAGTTGGATTGTGATCATGAGACAGACTGAAAGGACAATTTGACTTTCATAGCTACACAGCAACAAAGAAGCTCACAAAGAAGAACTATTTTTTTTCCCTCCGGGAAGCAATAAAAGCCAAGACATCTTATTTTTAGGTCCCTTCTAAGTATATATATAGAGAAATAAATATCCACACTCAGATATTTATTAAAATATTCAAGTACATAAATGATTGTGTGTCAAAAGGCATCTTCTTCCCAAACTCTGCAAAGTTAGGAGGAGGGAGGATCCCTTTCCCGAAGTCTGTCACGTTCTTCGACCAGTTTTATCTTTCTTCCTAACACAGTTCTGGGACAACAGTTTGAATGCAAAGCCCCTTGACAATATATCTTCCTCATAAAAGATGTTAATTTAATATACAAGAAAGAAAGGCCTTTGGGAAAGAGGATAAAGGAGTTAGAATTTGTAACTCCTGCCCTGAAACACCGGATATCAGAAAGCCATTTAGTTTCCTTTCTATTGCTGATTAAAGCCTTCATTTTAACCTTCATTATAAATGAAGTACATTAATGGCTAAGCTGTTTTTAAACAATTAAATACTAACCTTCTTCAGTCTTATCCCAGATTCCCCTGGACAAAATATCTGAGCTCTATTTATTCAGTGTAATGGATCAGTATTTCATTTTCATTAGAACCATAGAAGTCTGTGTCTACGTGAGATATAAACCTCATGCCCATCTACATACACAATGCTGTGTCATAGAGAAGCCACCGCTGTAACAGAATACACTCTTCAGCAATGTCATTTGAAGCAACTACGACAAAGAATAGATGTGAAAGCTCATTTAGAAAACAAATTCCTAGAGTGTCTAACAACAATCAGACATGTGTGTAATATCTCATTCTGCTACAGTAGCTTCTAGAATCATAGATCCAATACGCAGTTGCTGTGATTAATAGTAGGCAGACAACAATGTCAAATCAATGTCCTTTGAGGTTCCATAGTTTGTATTGTCATGGGCATTTTATTCATCTGCATGGCTTCACAGATAAAGTCAAGAAAAGAGAAATACGAACCTATACGTACTGACTTTTAGAGTACACACTTGGAGACTTCTTCTCCGTATAAGAACTTTTGTGAGTGGTGCGAGGATGGGGCATCGTGTATCGGTAGCTGACCTTGTTCCCAGTGCAGCAGCAGACACAACAGAAGAGCGCCCCTACCAGAATCAGCACCAATGCCGTGACCCAGCCTAGGTAGAGGGCTTCTCCAAGCTCACGCTTCAATTCCATATCCAGTATTGGGTTGTAGAAATCTCTGATGATGCTGTTGGCGACCCAGCTCACAGGGATGATCACCAAAATGCCTGAGACAATGAACATGACGCCAGACGTCAGCATGATGTAACTCTTCACCTTCTCATCCTCACCAGTGCACTGGGTGCACTTCATGCCGAGAATGGCCGTCATGAACGCCAGGATGGACACCACCGTTGCAGTACACATCAGTCCTCTGGACGCCTGCAAATCCTGAGGAAGAGCCAACAGGGAATCATAGACTTTACACTGCATCCGGATGTTCATGTGCCGTATGCAGCTCATCCACAGTCCTTGCCACTGGTTTTCAGCAGTTACAATGTTGCTTCCGATGAAAGCAGACACTTTCCATTGAGGCATGACAGTGACAGCCAATGCCCCCACCAGGCCAATACCACCAAGCACAAGTCCAGCAATTTGTAAGGCAGAGATAGCCATTATCCACTGGGATAGGTTTAAGTGAACAGGACTCCTAAGCCAGTGGCGCTGCTCTGAAGCAAGTCTCACTGTGTCCAGGAGAAAACAGTAATGAACTCAGGAAACCAACGGAGTTTCAAATAGTAGTTGTTTTCCTACTTCCAGCTAGATTAAATCTAGTGCTAACTGACCCAGTTGCCCCCCC